GGGAGCGAATGGTGAGAAAGGTAGGGCGAGAAAGAGAGAGACAGAGAGAGAACCGCAATGTGTAACGTAATCAGCACCGCGTGTTGTTAGACAACCACGCCACGCCGCGCGCGGACCATCCAGACACACAATTAAAAGTACGCCCGACCAAGGCCCCTGCTCCCGCCGGCTCCCACTGGCTCCCGCCGGCCAGCAGTAATAGTGGTGGTAGTTTGTAGGGGGATCGTAGAGAGAGAGAGAGAGATGGTGGTGGGAGGAATAGAGACACGACGACCTTGGATTCGAGACATGTTTTCGTCGTTTTATACGGGCGCGGCACATACATTACGGGCATTTACGTGGAGAGGAGGGGGCGGTGCGTCGCCGAGGTGGAGGGGGCGCGAGAATGGGAGCGGTGCGCCGTGTGTGCTCGCGCCCGCCCCGGCCCCGGGCTGCTCTGCCCGGCCCTGATCGGCAAATATTTGCCGGCCCTCCCCCTTGGTCGGCCGGTGCCGTGCCGCCCCCGGGCTCCCCGCGGCGCACCTGAGGGCGCCCGAGGGGCCCAGTGTGTCGGAATGGTGACCGCCGGGCCGCAATTTCAGCCCAGCAATACTACGTGGATAAAAAAAAGAGCCTTAAAGACAGCGATGGGTCAACGACGCCAGGAGGAGCAGCCTCAAATTGTTCAATTACGTACTATGTTCGCATTGTGAAAATACTCGTCAAAGGCGGGGGGAGCATTTAGCGTGCAATGACCGTACCGTGAGTGAGATCAAGCGAAAGGGAAGGACAGCGAGGCACCGGGGGGGGGGGGGGGGGGGGGAGGAGGGAGCGAATGGTGAGAAAGGTAGGGCGAGAAAGAGAGAGACAGAGAGAGAACCGCAATGTGTAACGTAATCAGCACCGCGTGTTGTTAGACAACCACGCCACGCCGCGCGCGGACCATCCAGACACACAATTAAAAGTACGCCCGACCAAGGCCCCTGCTCCCGCCGGCTCCCACTGGCTCCCGCCGGCCAGCAGTAATAGTGGTGGTAGTTTGTAGGGGGATCGTAGAGAGAGAGAGAGGGGAGGGGGGGGGCGGGGGGAGAGAGAAACGGGAGGGAGACCGCTTGAGCGCAAAGTTCTAAATCGAATGGCGCGAAAGTCCGACCGACCGGCCGGCGTGCCCCTCTCGTCCAAAATAAAAACAACCGGGCGCTAATCCCATTCAGTCACTGCCCCTCGACGAGGCTTCCATTCCCCAGCCACACGCACGAGCGCGCAGACACGCACACGCCGGGCCATATTATCATTCCATTCACAGATCACCAGATTCTCCCACTCAGCACACGCTCATTGCGTCCGTGATTGAGTCATTATTGGCTCTGGTGTCAGGCTGGCCTCTGGCCGCGGTCCTTGACCGGATAGAGGGAGAGGGAGAGGGAGATGGAACAGAAAGGCTGGAGGGAGAAAGACAGAAAAGAGGGCGAAAATGAAGGGCAATCACCGAAGCTTGCGTCGTTATCGGGCGTTGACAGCCGGCGGTCGGTAGGTCAGCCAGTCAGCGAGGCGCGCTACCCGTTGACTGTTCTTCAAATTTGCTCATCGTCATCCACATTTTTCTCCTTCTTCATCAATAATAGGCGATCGTTCCACCAACTGCCAAGGTCCTTTCTCATGACTGACAAGAGAATTCAGGTGTAAATTCTCGATTTTCATTTGGGAGTCATCTTGAGCATTCCTTCTAAATTCTATTTCATCTAATGTTGATAATTTTCAAAATTAGGTAACTCGTCTAGATGCGATCCTTTCGTTTAGCCCTATCTTAAGAGGTTTAAGCGCTATACCGACACGTTTAGGGGGGGGGGGATGTAAAGGAATCACTAGGGCTTAAGAGCAGCGGTTGTAGAAAGCAGTCCCACAAAAAATACTGAGAAACAAAAGTTGTATAGAAATGTAAGCTCCTTGTGAGCCTGACACTAAGCCTCGTCGTATACACTTCATCGAATATTTTCTAATGAGAAGCCGCCAATTAAAAGCAACTTCACTCAGTTGAAATCACGGTGATTCAAAGCTTACGGCGAATTTCACCGAAGGCTTCAGAGGACCCTGCAGTACTAAAGCTGAAGTTACGGTGAATATCAGTGTAAGTAACAGATCTTTTCGTCCTCACCTGATGGGTAACACTTTTTCTCTCTCCCTTTCTCCTTCCCCTCTCCCTCCCCCTCTCTTCCTCGCTCTCTCTCTCTCTCTCTCTCTCTCTCTCTCTCCCTCTCTCTTTCCCTCTCTCTCTCCGTCGCACAGCCCTGAAGCGGCCCCGGCAGCCGCGCGCATAAACGCCGCCCTTGCTCCGCGGGCGAATTTTCAAGTTTCTATTAAGTGGAGATGAAGAGGCGCAAATGGTTGTCAGGCGAGTCGTTTAGACCTCCTCTCTCCTTCCTTACCTCAGCTCCCCGGGGCCTCCACCCTCACTTCCTTCAGCCCCGCTTCTCCTGAAATCCCCTCCGCTAATGCGTCACTCTGTAGGGGTCTGTATGGAGGAGGGGGGGAACATTAGCACGACGACAACTCTTTTGCCGCCGCATTAGGTAAGGTGGCGACGGGGGGAAGAGAAAAATGGGGCCAAATACATCTACACGAATGTCGTTGCGGTGTTCGACTAGACGGCGACGGTGTCGAGGTCTTCTCGCGATGATAAACGCCACAGAGCACATTCTCTTGGTGTTCCTACGGACCACAACACCGCACCGGGTTCAAGCTTGAACTTTTAGAGCGTTTTATACCTCCACAAGGCATGAAGTTATACACTTCTCGACGTCCATATATAAATGTGGTAATCGGGA